CGTCAAATCCCCCAGACTTTTTCCTTATAATTAAGGTCCTTGTTATACGGCGAGTAATACGCAGTGATATACGCCCCTTTCTTAGCCGAGAACTGGAATGACGCATAAGTGTGTATAATCGGTGTGTGGATGTTGTTGTCAAGGACATCTTTCCCGCTATAAAGGGGTTGGATTAGCAAAATATTCGCTCACTGAACCACAATTTTTATTGAAAGAGAAGAGGGAAAAAGGGAGAAAAAAAAGAGGGGAAACCCACAAAGCATCCGCAACAACCTTCGCATACTCCCCCTCCCCACCCCACTGCCACCCCCTCATCCGAAACATCTCCCCCAAATTCCTCACAATCTCCCCATCACTCGCCGCATACTGCCACAGCGGCACATACAGCTTAACCTCCGGCTCATCTTCCCCGGATTTAAGTTCCCAACTACAAGTCATGCCCGGATGGCCGCCCACATGCGCTGGGATGCGGACCGGTTTCTCGAACTCGTCAAACGCGGCTCCTTGGAGCGTGGAATGCATGTTTGGTTCGTTGATATACAAGTGCCAGAGTTCCCGCAGGATAGCGACGCCTTCAAGCGTCGTAGCGTCGGATTTAGCACCGCCGAATGTAATGTGCGAGCGCACTGCTGCGAAGGAGTTGCACGGGAGCGTGGTGTATATTTTCACGCGCGCGCCTTTTTGGATGGGGAGACAGTCGATGCCGATTACTTGGATCAGGGGCGGGGAGTTGATCATGGGGTTGTAGGACTCGATGAAGGCGAGAGCGGGGGATAGGCCGGGGTCGAGGGATTTGAGCGTGGAGACGCAGAGGGAGTCGGAGGCGTTGGATGTTAGCATGTGTTTCATGATGGGCGAGAAGTAGGATTTCATGGCGATGGTGGAGCCTTCTAGGTCGAAGGCCATGAAGCATTGCGGGATGTGGGCCGTTTCGGCGGGCATCATGGTTTTTATGGCCGTGATCTCTGGAGAGGAGAGGGAAAATGTCGATTGCAGCTGTTTGAACCATGTCGTGTCTGCGTTTGTTGCCGCCGCTATGCCGGGCAATGGGTTTGGGGAGTCGCGTGTCTGGACCTGGCTGTCTAGCGTGGGGAGTTGAGGGTCGAAGTTGTAGCGTAAGCATGGCTTTCCCTTGTCGCTGAGGTTGAGGCTGACTTCAAAGGGCGAGCCGGTTGGTGTGAGGAGGTATTTGGGGCGGGCCTTGGTGGGAGCTGGACCGAGGGCGGGGATGATGTGGGTTTTTAGGAATTGGAGGTGGGATTCCTGTTGGGAGGGGGTGTAGGAATTGATGTCTTTGAGCAGGGAGGTCACTACCGGTATGCAATATTCGGACCAGAAGGTGATGCCTTTTTCTGTGGCATTGCTGTCTGGGACTGGAATCTCGGCGCTGTTTTTAATGGTGTTAATAGTTTTCTAGATATTTCTGCTTTAGATTTACCTTGTTTGTAACCCCTCGTTCGATATGATCCCAGCTTCAACATTGTGGATGTGAGAATGGGGGATCGGATTGAAACCTTCGGGAGCCGCTGTGGTAGCCATGTTATAAATACCTAGGTAGTATTTAGTTCTGCTTTGAGAGTGAGTATGTAGTTATCCAAACTTAGAAGTCAAGGTAACATAAAGCCAGAGATCTACATCTTTATAAGGTAAAACTTTGTGGGAAGGATTCGCGGGGTTCAGCGGGGTACTTTTTTATCATTGCAAAACGATAGGATAGGCAACACGATAGTAAGCTTACATTCAGGATTGATTTCTTGCAGCAAAGCACGGGAGAACGGCCTAATGAGGCACAGATCAGCGACCCCAGTCCCCACACCCCAGGATTCCCCATTATTGAAGTTTGGATAGAAGAGTTTCACAAAGTTAGGTACGCATCAGCTGGAAACAATATCGTGACTTTCGACAATCGATGTGTAGGGCATAGCAGGATCTCTGCTGTTGTGAATATCATGTCAGATAGGACTAGCACCAACTGGAAGAGGCTATCTAGCTATCCTAGGTAGGGAAAGTTCTACCTCTCCCCTGAGTAAACCGTTAGACAATCTTCGTTTCATAGTAAGCTAGGAAGGCTTTGCGAACGTACCAATTATCGAATGTCGTTGCCTAAAAGTAGCCGTGATCGGAGACATATCAGGTGATAAGTTTAGGTTTCTTCATAAAACAAACGCATAAGTTGGAAGATGAGATAAGGAAGAAATCAGCAGCTAATGTAGAGCTATCTATCGTGTAGGCTACGTGTAGATGCACTAAGCTAGGTCATGCTTGATTGAAATGCAAGAAGAGAAAGTGAGGTTGGAATTTCTAGCCAGGCTAGTCTTACCTTACCCCGACTTTCGCTTTGGTGGTATTGCGGGGTAAAGTATAAAAATACGAAGTATTCAAGTAGGAAATGAGAAGAGATATTTTTAGAAGATCAAACTGATTATACAAAGCATAGATGGTATTAAAACGACTCGGGATGACGAAAAGTCGTCGTTTGGCATATAGGAGCACTTTACTCGATGGTGATAAGAAAGAAAACTGATCAGACTAGTTCGAAATGGGTAAAAATGCAACAGAAGGTTTATCACCAAGGTTGCTGTAGATTCAGAGTTAAAGAGGAATAGTATGAATAGATGACAATCAGGAGTCAAATATGAAGGTTCAAAAAATGACACACATAGTAAAGGAAGCTGAGTTTTAGGTAGATGCTTCGCCAGACCCTGCACCTCAACTTATTATCTTTATGTTGAAACCATTCAGTGACACTTAATCATACCCTTAGCCAAGGATTTACTATTAATTCTCTTTATTATATTGCTCGCCATCTCACAAGATCAAACTCAAACTCAAACCCAAATACGTGATGAGCACCACATGAACAACTGCACTGCATTTCTGCACGGGCCAGTTTGAGATGCAGAAGGCCGCGGGTCACGGATAGGTCTGCATGTTTGGTGATACTATACATGTAAAGTGATATGCAAGTACGTAGTACATAGGAAACGAACCGATAGGTTTTATACGAACTCGACTATTCATCCTTGGTTGAGAACGACAGGACAGGATAGGTGAGTGGGAAAGCACTCTACGCGTAATTGGAATCCTGGACAGGATGTAGAGAGTGAGACAGCGAGTCTTTCGTCCCAAAAGAGTACTAGCTTTCCGTTTCCTCGTATGGAATGCGATAGGATAGGATGGATGGGCGCATGGAAATGATCCAGTGTTCACTTTACAAATAAATGGGGGATCTATACACAGTACTGTTCATGCTGGCGGTTAGAAGCTGAACTGAGACGTTGACGTTCCTTCTCTATCTCACTCAGTACGGTGACCGAAACGCGACATTTACGCGTGTCGCGTTATATACTCCTGTAGTCCTACCATGGTACAGACAATGCTGGACGAGGGAAAAGAAGCAGCATGTGCAAAGAACTCGACCAACTAGAATTGCCCATTCTATCTATTGGCCACATCGGGCTTTATTCCTCGCGGATTCAACCATTTACATGCCGCGATTCGTCACATTTTCAAGAATCCTACACTACAGTACGCTGCACAGGAAGCCCCAGTCCCATGCTGTGTCCACCAACTGCAACTGCAACTGCAAGATCCACCCTCTTGAATGCCGTACTGCACTTACAGGCTCTACTTGCCAAAGAGCATCGAGAGGAAGGGAGGATCAACAAGAATTCCAAGGCTCACTGCATGGCGCACGGTTCAATTGAAGAGTCGTTGAGATTCGTGGACTGGACGTGGACTGGTGGTTGAGTGAAGGTGGGGTGATAAGACAGAGAGAGAGAGTGAGTGAGTGAGTGAGTGAGTAAGTGACTGCGGTTAGTCTCTTTCTCTTCCCAGACCACAGACGCGACTTGCTCTTCCTGCGCTCCAGCCAGTTCCTTCCTTCACCCGCCGCACACCCACATACATACCTTACATACCATGCCCACATACCCACCCACATCCACAATAATCCGCATCCGCTTTCACCAAGCCAGAAAGGGGAGAACTACTCCAATCCACCCAATCCAGACTCCTTTTTTCCAGCCAGACCGCTTTTTCATTCGTCAACGGAGGCATCGCCGATTGTACTTCTCCCCAATCTCTTCCACTCACCTACTGCACTCCCCTCCCCCCCTCGCGCTCTCCCCACGCCCACTTGCATCGCGCCAGCTCTCCTCTCGTCCTTGACTTGCGGTACACTACAAACACCACCACCACTCACACTCGTTTCTGGAACTACGCTACAATACACCACACAACACTATACTATACTACACTTCGCCTTCAACTTCAACCCCTCCATATTCTACTCATTCTCTTTCCCTCATTCCTTTGCGTCAACTTTTGATTCCGAAAGGGGTGAACTCGAGCCCAATAACAACACGCGCAACAAATTGACGATCGAAGTTGCGACAAAAAGAAGAAACATCATAACAGCAGCAATAAACCTCCCACCCTCCGCCTTACAACCACACACAAATCTCCAAGTTCATCCGGTCCTTACACTTCGATTGCCATACTCCCCGAAATCTCCTCTCCTCTCCTCTCGAACACAGACAGACCGCTTCTTTGTCGCAATTGCTCGAGCATTGTCGCACAACCTCAAATACGATACAACACTCCAGCCTCGCAATCACGAGTCCACCGACGTCAGCAGATACCCATGCAAAACGTGTGAGAACCTACATTCCGGAGAATATACTCTGAAACAACAATTGCTGCTATCGATAGCATCAGCAATCGCGTTGCGATTGTCGATCTATCGAGCGAGCTTCCTCGTTTCGCTATCAAGATCCTGTTTCGCCGACCGCCGCGAAATCAAACTTGAATGCCACCGTCAACCTTGCTTTCTTTAATTCAATTCACCTAGAGCTTATGTACCATACTTCTTGTAATCATACACCAAGCGTCCGCCAACAGTGCTGTACAACGCCCTCCTCCACGGATAGGACTCCTTGCTTCCTACACTCCCACACTTCTTGCCCGCATTCCAGTCGCGTTGATACACTATAAGCACCATGTTTTACCAACATTCAAATTGCTCTACAACGCTCCCACGAGGCTTCCGTTATCACGAAGGTCAACCAACGACCCCAGAACCTACAACCGCGAACGAGTTAGAACAACCCTCTCCGCCCAGACCTACTCGTCTCAAGGTCAAGAGGCGCAATGTATCGAGCCTACAAGCACCTACGGAACAGTTTCTTGCTTCGGTAGCTGCAGCCGATCTACCTTTGCCTACAATTGAATTGCCAGTAAATATATCGGAGGATTCAGATATGCCCGACCGTAAAGAGGAGGTGATGGAGACCTCTGGATTGCTTGCTCCTCAAACCTACAACAGATTCTCTTCCCCACCAAAAACTCCAGTGCCTTCATTCCCCATGGATGAAGGTCCTCGGCGACCAGATTGGTCTATGGGCGCCTCTTCCCCAGACGACTATTTTACACGACCTACATCCTCCCTCTCCAATGCGTCTGACTACTCAGACGATTCATTCTACAGCGGTAGCCGAATATCACGACCCTCAGATGATGGTAGCTGTACGAGCCCGGATTCAGATACAGACGATCCCTTCCGATTCCCTTCCATATCCAAAGGAAAAGGAAAAGCAATTTATCTCGAAGAACCAGCCCCGTTCGCTCGATTGAACGAAAAGCTCCGCAGCAAAACTCGAAATGATGCGCCCTGGACGAAGGCGATGAGTGAACATCTTTGGTCAACATATATGCTTTACCTACAAGATCCTACAGTCACGCCTTTCCGTATTGGTGCTAGCGCTATACCCCCTGAGGGTGTTTGCCATCGAGTAGCTAGAGAGGCAAGGAGAAGCTGGAAAGGACCAAAACCGGCTACTCCTGCCTTGCGAAGATCGGCAAGATTGGGCAGTATGCCATCACTTGCTTCAGAAAAGAGTGGCAGTCTTACTCCCACTGAGAATCCCAAGGTCTATGCGCAATGGCCGCATTCAAGCAGCGCGACCCGAAACCACCTCCGTGAGCTATGCAAGAGCAAGAACACCAGTCTAGTCCAGCGACACCTACATCTACAATCTCGAAGTCCAACTCCCTTCACTCATGCAAAGCCGATTGAACGTTCTCGCTTGCGAACCCCTGAGCCTCAACTTTCATCCTTTAACACCAAAGACATTGCACTGTCCCTGACTACCAGCACTTCTAAGAGCATGCAGCCAGATGGACCGCTTGCTCTTCTCGCTTCGGAAGGCTCTCCGAGCACCATGACCCCCGACTCGAGCCTTCCTACAGCTGACTTTATGCCAAAAGGCTTCGGGAAATCCCGGGGCTTAACCGTCGGCAGGTCTGAACATGAGAATAATGGTCGCCGGTTGGCATCGCCCTTCTTAGCTCGTACTTATGGTCCCAGTTCTTCCCAATCTCCATCTACCTCTCGTCCCTCGCCTACTCGAACCCAGTCTGATAACGCTGGTCCGCCACAACTCCGCTCGCCACTCAGATTCGATCAGCCTCGCTCCTTGACCGGGACACAAAAGAGACGTGCTCAGCATGCGCTCGAAGAGGAATTAAGTCCCAACGGGGCTGTTCTTCGTCCCAGTATCCTCGACGAGCAACTTTTTGGTACTCTCCTAGGTCACCAACGCCGTGTCAGAAGTCGTGGGTTTAGTCTGGGTGATGAAGCTCTTCGTGCTCCAGGCATCTTCCAACATTTGCCTCCATCAAACGTCGAACTTTCAATATCACGCCCCAGAACTAACCCGAAGCTTCTACCTTCGGCAACATTCGAGCCTCCTCCACGTCTTGGTTCCCCTTTCTCAGAATCAGGACCGAGCATGACATTTCCCAGACGCCTCTTTCAGGATGGTTACAGTACAATCAAGCGAAGCGCCTTTGCCACTATGCATCAGACCCGGCATTCTATCGAATCTTTTGACTTCGGTGAAGGTCCTAGTCTTCAGAGTCGACTTGAGCAGCTTGATGTGAAGCTCAAGGAGATCCGAGAGCGGGAGGCCGCTGCGAGGCGTCGAGGTGCCGAATAAGCTGGGCTTGGGCAATGACACATTTCTTCAATCTATTTTCATGCATTCATGCACAATCTGATGCATTGCATTTGCATTTGCATTTATCGGCGCTACAACTCTACCAATTTCTTCAGTATACATTCAACCTTACGATACAGGATGCCCTCTTTACGATATGAAATTCATGCCAGGATGCTAACAGGACTGGCTTGGCGTTTACTTTTGTTCTTTGTGCATTGCACGAAAAAGCTTGTTGTCGTCTCATTCGTCGGAGTTCCGAGTTTATCTTCTTGTTTCTAATATAATACTTTATTTTCTTTGGCTGGGTTTGTTTCGAATTTTCACGGACAAGAGATGGATGGATATGAATTGACGACATGAACATTACGATATGATGATATGATGAGAGAGAAGTGTGCATATTTGTGGTATGGAGCTGGACGATGGATAGATGATGAGGGGGTGGTAATTGTACATAGAACAGCAGGAATGGAGACAGACGTATAGATGAGAATGAGATACGTTGCATACATGAAGCACTCAAGTATTCTGTGATTGATTGATTGCGCCACTTTATGCGTTGGCAATAATGTTTAAGTCGAGATGCAGAGTGCGCTTCTTCAAGTGAAGATGTATATATAACGCGAATACGAACTGTTCGAGAGCAGACAACTCAACGTTGCATTCGACCTCCCCTACAAGCCCGTCGTGCTAACATTTCCATGTACCTTGTTTCCTCTACGTACATATATATATCGAGAAGTCTCTCTCATTTCGCAATTCACTCGCCCTACCCTACCCTACCTTTCAGTACAAAGTCTACTACAACATATACAATCTTCTTATAGTGCGGTGTGGTGTTGTGCTGTGCTGTCAAGTTATATCTATCGATCGGTCTGTCGGTCGTGTAACAACGGCTTGGTGATAGAAGGGGGGATTGGGGAGTTTTGGACGGGGTTTTTTTGAAAAGGTGGGAGAGGAAACAAGGGGAGGAAGAGCGCAGGGTACTCGTATAAAGGTAAATGTTTCTCTGACCCCATACATCCATCTATGACAACGTCGAGGTATCCCCAGTCAATGCCCATATCAAGTCTACTCCCTAGCTTGGATGCCGGCCGCAACTGGTGATTGGTTGTTTTTTCTTCTTCGTCGTCTCGAGGTAGAATGGAATGAATGAAGGGCTATGAGAAATGACAGCAAGTATCTTCACAGCCGACTTTTCAGCAAGCTAGAACCATCGCGTACTGCTATAGCAGGCGGTAGCTTTATGGAGAAGGAAGTTTTATTTCTTCGGGGGAAGAATGAAGTGGAGGGTGTGTATATCTGTTGTAAAATGGTATGTCTCCGCATATGTTGTTTGCAGTTATGGGTTTGAACTTTAGCCTGGTGTATTCCTTGTGCGGAGCGCTGATGGTTTTATAGTACTCGATGGTTTTAGTTGAGATTTAGTAGCGATGAGGCCCTGGTGGGCTTTCACTTCATCTCTGCAACCTTGACTAGAATCTCTTCTACACCTATAAATGCAACCATGAAACAACATATTTACTAGGCCAGGCCAGTGCAGTATGTGTATACCTACAGAAATTCGCTTTTATGGTGGTGATTCCTACTTTTAAATTGTCAGGACTTCTGCCACTATCAGGAAGCCTGCTAAGAATCGAATGTCGTGGTTTAGGGTCGGGACTACGGTTTTGCCTTTGTAATGTCACCATCGCTTGTTTTGAATGCCCTTTGTTGTCAAGAAAGGGTCTGCTGTTATTAATTGCATTCGTTCGTTCTCCTGCGTATGCATTTGAGTGAGTATTCTAGAAGCTCTAAAAGCTACCAGCTATTTGCTTGTTCAGCTATCAATTGACAGATAAAGCTCATCGAATTATGCATTATTCCATAACCTCATATTTCCATTATTCATCATTCTCTCATGTCCATCGAATTATTCATTATGCTCTGACCACATATCTCCATCATTTACCATTATCTCGTATCCATCGTATCCATATCCACATGCAATTAATTATTCGACGTATCCAGTATTCCATCTCCAATATAAATACAGACCCAGTTACAACCCCTTACATGACCAAGTCAGGAAACAGAACCGACGGCGTATCGTTATGCGGCTTCTTCGCCTTGCGCTTCTTTTTCGTGGACCGGGTCCCGGCCTTAGACTTGGTGACTTTTGTCGTCATGTCCTTAGGCGTAGATGACGGTGTTCTACTGTTGTTCTTGACAATTCGGCCGCTTCGGGTGCGGGTGACTGTGGAGCTCGCGGTTTTGGACTTTGGAATTGTGGGTTTGGGACTGTCAGTCTTGGGAATGCTGGTGTTAACAGCGCCGAGTTTAGAAGTGTCGGTCTCGGAAGTATTGGACTGATAGTTGGTCGGTCTGCTGCTAGGCAGTAGTGTTCTTCCGGATTCGTTCTTCGTAGCCACAAACTGAGGAACTTGCTCCACACCTTTGGCGTTATCATTCTGTCGCTTGATTTTGTTCGCTTGGTAGGATCCCTTCATAGATGCCGGGCCGTTACTAATCGAATAAGTTAGTCGAGTTTCAATGAACTCTGTTTCGAGATGGATGAGCTTTGATCGGTTGTCAGGTAGTAGCAAACTGCTCAGCATTGTGTATCTTAAAACTTCATCTTAGGGGACAAAGACTGCTCGGGTAAGGCAATGGAAGTGTGTTGACATTGGAAGAAAGAGCCACCTGTGACTTACAACTTCTCTCTAATCTTCCTATCAGACTCTTGTCTCATCCTAACCTGCTCCTCCACGCTCGCTTTCTTGAAGTCATCCGATTTCTTAAGGGTACGAAATGCCGTAGAGTATCGAGTGAGAAGAGCTCTATGTTTGGCGAACTCCCCCTTGGTCATATTACTGTATGCGAAGTAAAATTAGCTTGATGTTGGATACAAAATTGCTTGGCTTACGAAGTAATCTCTGCCTTGCGCTTCTTGCCTTTACCACTCTTGGTGGTGACAGCAGTGAGCATTCTGAGCGAATTCAAATTAGACATAGAAGCTATCGAGTAGACGAGCAGCGTACGGGGGAGAGCTTTCTTCCTTGGGAGTCGAAGCAGCCCAGAAAGATGTCGCCTTTCTGACATTTCCCATGATGGACTAGTAGTCGTCGGACTTTCGCTTGGTTCAAGATGTCGTAGGGTGAGCGTCTCACTGTACTTGAATGCTGTTCAAAGAGGGGGAAGATGCGGTCCTATCATATGATGTCGGTCAGCTTTGACTTTTGATGGGATGCTGGAAGTGCAAATAGCATGTATTACCTTAATGTGCGTCAAGGATGGCCCAGGGTAGTTGTATTGCGTTGTAAGAAGATTCGGTGGTTTGTAAGTCGCGTCGCGCTGAGTGGTAAAGATTATTGGGAGAGAAGTCCCCAGAGCTGTATTTATACTACTTGTTAAACTGTCGGCGAAAGGCCTGACTTCGGCTGAGGTCGTCCAGGTTGGAAGTCAATCATAATGTGAATGAAAGGAAGAAAGTCCACCACGATCGAAATCGGTCTCATTCTAAGTGTGAATTAAAAGAAGTGCTACCGCTTAGTATTGCCAAACTAAGTACTTAATGAATTATAAGCAATAGTAAGAATATACTAGAAGATCCTACTTCTATATACCTTATTAGACCGATGAACTTTTTTAGTTTAGCTATAGAAATAATTATTACCTTTCCCTACAAAATATCTTTTTAAGAATAAAAATCCTTGCTAAGCTAATAGCATAAATGTACTCTTTTGTTTATCTAGACCTTTAATAACATGATAGAATTATCCTTAGAAGTTCGATTATATACATCATGATTTTAGTATTCTTTGTTAATACTTAGAAACATTCGCTCTTTATAGAGTATTACTTTATTACAATTTATAAATCCTAATACTAAGAAAGACAACCACAAACCAAGGCAGCAGATCTTAATACAGCGTCTGAATAGGGTAAGTTTCCATGAGCTAAAGTGAATACATCGATGTGATTTAAAAAGTGCGATTTGCAACAAAACACTTACAATTTTATAACTGATAACATTAGAGCAGTCTATTATGCTTAGCTCATAGTTTCTTGGAAATAGTAGGAGATCTATAGACTACGGATACCCGAGGGCTTAGATTAACTTTATCTGCTCAATACCGTACTTGAGAACCTTCTGCTTGTACGGGACTAGGTCATACTAATGCGCCCTACTTGCAATGTCGAATTCGATCTCTTGTACTTTCTTGAGCTTAGCTGGAGCTATATAGCTATATATCCTATCCAGAAGTCTTTATAAGTCTTCGCTATATAAAGTAAAAGAACTTTCTACTTAATGAAGTCACGTGTATATCTTTCTAGTTTTCCACGACTTATAAATCAATCAATGTTAATGCGCCTTCTGTTGGTATCACAGGTTAATACGTGATCACGTTGCTACTACGCGTAGTTAGTATGATACTGGTATTCTGGTGGATGTTGCTTCGTATTCGTGGTGTTGTAGGCAAAAGACAATACGCGTCTTTTGCTGACTAAGCGAATGACTAAGCTAGGTCACATGATTACAAAGGTCGGGATACAGCCCATTATCCCAACACCTTCCTTACTTAAAACATTATTTTATCGACTAAGGATTGTTATTCTTAGCACTTGAATACTATTTTGATTCATGCTTCATAAATACAAAATGCTTATACTTTGGACATAAAGGTGAGAAGCGAGCAAAGAATCTCAGGGGCTCGACTAAGTCAGGGGAGAATAATAGCATAGTCTACCGTCGGCGAGACCAGCTCTTTCATTTTCACTGCTTATTGTCTCTTATCAAGTAATATATTTTTCCAAATTCTTGTAATTGTACTAGTGCTACAGAATTTAGAATTCTGATGAATTTAGAAACCCGATTTATTAACCTAAACTAGTACGAAGAAAATAAGTGCGCTTGAAGGAGAAAACCTTAGTAGTTACATGACCATCGCTAGGTACAAAGCCGAAAACGCATTCGCTCTTTTCAGTTATTTCAGTTAGAGAGAATACAAATATAA